ATAGTGTTAAACCTAACGCAAAAAAAAAAAAAAGAAAAAAAGAAAACAAAAAGAAATTATTATCTGATGCAACGACATTCGTCCTAAAAAAGGAAAAGGAAAAAAAAAAGTGCACACTTATAATATAGCCTTGTTTAAAAATTTAATAAGAACGTCGTAACGACGTGGTGTATGTCGATAGTGTGCTTGTACGATACAAAATTGCACAGACACAAAAAGCATCGTGTGAAAGCAAACATTAAAGAGAGTGTTAATACTCGGTCAACTTTTTACTCGAAGCATGCAAGAATCGTGAGGTGTAGTATACCTTTGCACGAATGTAAGGCAAACAGTTTTGCGAGGGGTTGGCAAATGTACCTGACGATGGCCCATATAAACGTGCGAAGCTTTTTGTTTTATTTTTATTCTGTTAAGCGCCTTGTGTGCTATTGTGTTCTTGTACGCGTATATTAATGGACAATGCTCAACGTAAACGACAAATTACTAATTAATCTGTTCTTACAAAAAAAGTTAAGCAAAGCGCTCCCAAATCGGACGATGAACAAAAGAATTAAATATTGAGACATTAAATATAAAATGAACGCAATTTTAAAGATGATCGATCGAAAGAAAAAAAAAAAAATGTTCGTCTTATATGAGTGTGAACACGCAAGAAAAAGGGACAAAAACATAAAGTGATTTTTTATGGCTTGATTTTTCGATTATAAAAAAAAAAAAAGTTCATCAAAACGACGATAAAAAGTAAGCCCAATTTTGGAAGCTATTGCAGCAGAAAAGAAAAAAGACAGCTAAAGCAGAAATGTATTTTTTAAAACAGACAAAATAATAGAGATAGAAACGGCTAGACATGTTTTGTGTACAGGAGAGAAATGAGAAAATTTGCAACGAGTATGAGTACGAGTAATATTTTGTTTTCTTTTTTTTTTAGTAGCCAGAAAGCTCAGAGAATGTCTTGTCCAATTCTTCGCAAATCGTTTTGCGTTTCTCCTTCTGCTGGTGCAATACGTCTGTAAAGAAAATCAGTGATGTTGCTCGATAATGTGTCGTTCATTAACACGAATATTTACTAACGAACACTATCTTCGCAATCTCTGCAATTATAAAGCAATTTGTAAAACGAGTAAAAGTGGATGATAATAGGATATTCTTTCTTCAAATCAAGTATTTTTCAAATATTTTTCAATCTAAAAATCTAGATTAACCGAATCATCATTGTCCGTATGACGATGTTCAATATTGGCAAATTGACTACGAGTCTTTGATATTCAATTTCGGTAGAACCGGATAATGGAAATCTTGTTGTCATTTTGCCAAATTACATCAGATACCCGTTTAAATTCGGTACAAAAGCACTCTGAAAATATTCTGCGGTAACAAAATAACAAATATTTTTCAAGAAAAATAAATCCACCCGCATATTTATAAAACGAGCTTTGAAATTTATTTGAAATTTGAGCATTTAAATCGTATATATTTAAAGATGATGTAACAAAAGATGGGAAAAAAAAAAAAAATTAAACCCCTTACCTTCGAGCCTATCGACCTCCTTCTGGAGTTTCTTGACAGTTTTCTCAGCAAATTCAGCGCGGGCTTCGGCCTCCTTTAGTTTCACCGTCAATGTCTTGAGCTGACGTTTAAATTCCTCGACTCTTTGATTGGCCTAATCAATCCAATCCAATCCAAAACAAATTATTTCACGGAAATCCATAGAGGCACGATAAACCTTACCTTCTCTTCGGATACTTCCAGAGATTTCAAGCTGTTACCGACGACTTTCAATTCCTCTTCCAGTTCCATGATCTTGCTGTAACGTTAAGAGGGAATTATTTAAGTGGAAATAATTATTCATCGGCCGACGATCTTCGAGGATCGAGACTCACGCTTCACCAGACTTGACTCGATCTTCAGCGACTTCCAACTCATCTTCAACGAAGGCCAGCTTTCGCGATACCTCGTCCGATTTTCCATCAGCGTCCTCGGCAAGCAGACGTGCCTCTTTTAATTGATTGGTCAGCTGATCCATCCTCTCTTCATCCTGCTGTGCACGATTTTCCAATACTTTGCACATACTGCAATTGTATTTTCGTTATGTATAACTCCATCTCTTATCCTTGACATCTTGATCTATCGTCTCTATTGATTTTTCGTTAACATTTACCGGCTGGATTCATCAGCGGCCTGAGAAGCTTCGGCCAATTTGGCAGTGGCGGTGTTCAATCGTTCCTCGGATCTTTCCAGATCCTCCTCGATCAGTTGGACTTTTCGGTTGAGAGCGGCGACCTCGGACTCGGCCTGAAATTAAAACATTCCCGTGACACCCCTCGTTTTCTCTGAAAAGAAACGAGAAAAACAAAAAAGAAAACGGACGATTCTTCGAGTTACGAGGCCCCATTCGTAAGATCGTAAAACTGCGGGTGATTCATCGATCTTGAAGGAACCACCGGTATAAATATAAATAAAATTTTCCAGTGAAAAATTCATTTGGATCTGGTCCAATGTAAATTGGAGCGTTTTAGAGAGAGGTCGGGTAAAATTTTTTAATGGTGTATCAGGGAGTATACTTAAGAAGAACATACTCACGTTGGTCAGAGCTTTCTCCTTCTCCTCGAGATCCTTGTTCGCCTGTTCCAAATTTTGTTTGTTCGCTTCGAGATCGCCTTCCACCTGGGCGAGCTTCTTCTGCAATTCGCCGACTTCCTCGTTGACCTTGTCCGCGCGCATATTCGCCTCCTTCGCCTGCGCCTCGCAGGCATCCGCTTTATCCATCGCGTTATCCTTCTCAAGCTTCATCGCTTGCATCTTCTTCTTGATCGCGTCCATGCTGGCGGCTTTTTGCTTCTGCCGGCTTCCTTCAAGAAACTATCGAGTTCGCTGAAATTTCCCATTTTCCTCTCGTTTAACCATCGGCCGATAGATCGTATACGATCTCTTCGATCGGACAGCGTTGCAGGTATAGGGACATTCCAAACGAGGGCAGTCAGTGTACGGTAATATGACGCATTTCAAATGACGTTAGTGAAATCCTTATCTCGACAAGGATTAAAACGAATGGGTCGAAATGTTTTTGGGATAAATCGCTCGTTTCCTCAACGATATTCTTTCGAGATATCGCACGAGAGGTGCAATAATTGGCGGTGGCTGTAACCTTGAAAATAGGCGAAGGAGAGCGCGAAATAGAGGCGACATATATTTTCACGAATCGAGCGAGTTGCGCGAGTCATAATCCGAAGGCAGATGATATCTCGTCCGGCTTCGCGATGACGAGGAACACGGGGCACATCGGTGCGTCTACGGAAATAGCATCCATAGGCGGGCTCTATAAATATGCGCGGAACGGCGAAGAGAGGACGGCGGCCGACGTTGAGGAGAGGACGAGGAGGCCGAAAAGCACGAGCGTAACCCAGAAGAACGGGCTTTACTTGGCCGCCACCAACGACCGACATTCGATCTAACTGCCGCGTATTAATAGCATTTACGAAATCATCGTCGCCACCTCGCGATCTCGATCCTGCATATTCGCTTCTTACGATTCTACCGCCGAGGCAAAATTTTTCGATCGACGTCTATTTTTATTATTTTTAGAAATTGATAGAGATCGAGCATCTACTATTTATCGTTTCATTATTAACCAGAATTGCGTTATTGCGTTCAGACAAATCTACGTTGAAGAGATTTGATCGAATCGACGAAAAGTGGATGGATAGGATTTCACGGATATGAAGGGAAAACGATACGAACGAGATAAGCAAAGGAGCATTTCGATGGATGGGGCTACCCCCTTCCCTCGATATTAATAGCACCTGGAAAGTTTCAACATTTGGTTACCCACGAGTGCCAAAGTGACATCACGGAACGGATCCTTGATGATCAATAACAATAACGGATTGTTCGAGTTATTTAATCGCGGATAGGCATCGTTAGACGTTTAACAGATGGATTTTTTGGTCGTGTTACAAAATGGGCGAGGTTTGAGGGATCAATAATGTAAATTGAATGGTACTTATGCTACTTACGACATTGCGTTACGTTAAGTCCGAAAGCAAATTTGCTCGAAGCTGTTAAAAATGCTGTTGTTAATTGGCAGCGGTTAATATGTGGCGAAAGCGTTCCGTTTCCTGTCGATCTTCCTGCAAGCATTTAAATCACTAAAACTACTGGCTCGATCGTGCGGATATATTTTCGTGTATACTAACATCGATTACGATTAATTATCGATAATTCATGGATAATCGATATCGATCTTAGTTTTTCAAAATACGCAATTCAACGGAATCGTGACTGAAAGCGTGAATGTTAGAGGTTGAAAATAGCAGACGTAAACGAAACGATTCGATGATGGCAACCGGTTTATTTTTGCCGCGAAGTGGAACAGAACATTTCGTTCTTTTCAAGATTTTTCGTTTACGCTTGTATCAGATATCTTTGTTATCTGGCATTATCTCGTGATTAGAAAAAACAAAAAAAAAAAAAAACAATCTTATCGTAATAAAAGAGCTTTGCTTTACACTGCTCGAAGAAATTTTGTCAACGTTGTAAGCGATGTTACAGGATTAACTTATTAGGATTAACGCTACTTACAAGCATTGTCAAAGCGAAACAAGCCTTTTGCCTACAAAGCCTTCGAGATGAAAATTCTTCTCGAAGTAAAAGCGTATTAAATCCATAGTCCTCCTAAACTGTGACACTGTCTATAGTCCAGGGAACCATAGATTTTTCGAACGGATGCTCTTTTCGAGATTGAAGCTTGTTAGTCGTCGAAGCAGTAGCTCCATTAGTAGCAGTCATTTATCCTCGTAGCAACGAAACTGTTAACGATTAGCATCGAATTACTCTTCTTTCACTCCCCTCGTCGAAGATCAAAGTCTTCAACATCTCGAAGTCTCGAAGATGTTTGTAAATTGTGAAAGTCCCACGCACACGTTCATCCACATCCTTCCTTCCTCCCTTCCTTCTTTCCTTTCCTCCTTTCTTTCTTTCTTTCTTTCTTTCTTTCTTTCTTCCTGTCACACTCGCGCCGCGAACACCGGATATCGAGCAAGCTTGGTCGAGCATCGACAACGAAGCGAAGAAAAACAGGAGAATAGAGAATAGAGGAGAAGCGATCGTCGAGAATGAATGTTCGTGATAATTCACTTACCTAACCCGAGCGAGTAGAGTGGCGCGAGTCGAGTGTCCCGAGGGTGCTTCGAAAAGCTTCTTCCTCGGCGAGGACGCGGTAATCGAAGCGAAGCTCCCAAGGTGGGGAGCCCAAAAATGGACCGCCACAGAAAGTTCTACGGGGGTGGGGCCCTCCACGTTTATTTTCTGCTCGCGCCTCCTCGAAAATTTCTCTCACCTTTTGATCAGGAACAGGCTGGCTGGATCCATCGATTTTCGAATTTATATAGATCGACGATATCGTTACGAAACGATATTGGAGAAATTGAAACTAACGTTTCCATTTACGACGTTTAATTATCTTCGTCAATGGTTCGAGATATATACTTGATTGAAAAGATAAGATATGATATAAGTTATATCTAATGAATAATTAGAGAAATTTGTTTTCCAATTTTTGATAAGGCATTTTCGAACATGATCGAAACCGAGACACATCTCTTTCTAGATCGTTACTATTTTCGAGTATTTCGATTATATATACACTGAACAGCAGTTTTCTGACTAGTTACAATCGGACGGGCAGAAACAATAAACTTTTGGAACGGTAGCTCGCGTAACCAACCTTGAAAAAAGGCGATAAATGTAATATTAACGAAGAAATCGATGTTCCTCGCGAATGCTTCTCAAATCAGTTCATCACGACTTTCCTCCAGTTACGGTCCTCCTTTCGCGCTGCTCGTCCCAACGATCGAGTAATCGATCAGAACGATAAATAAACTTGCGTAACATCGTTCTGGTCGGATAAAAATGTCGCTAAAAATTCGATGCTTAAAAATATCTGGCTTTGATAAGTGAGCCAGGCGCAGGCAGAGCATTGAGAAAAATTGAGGGAAATTTATTAAACGTAAAGAATTGTTCTATGAATTCAATTCTCGACTAATTCTATTAAAAAGCTCCGCTCTGTCTTGGATTAAAATTGAAATACCATGAATCATTACTCTGTGGATACTCGATGATACCGATTTTTCTAGTTCGTTATCGATACAACTGTTGATGATGAATTCTTTTTGTTTTTTATTTTTCTTTTTTTTATTTCTCAATCGTGCTTGTGATGAGTAGATACATCGATGAAAGTGTGTGATAATGCATAACGATGAAAAGGATACACAAATACTCCTTACGATAATTGTAAAAAAGTACAATTGGAATGAGAACAATTATTATAGTAAAAATTGAAGCAGTAACAGTGAATTTTCTCACTTTAACGTTGAATTTTTCAGAAGATTGAACGAGGAGTACGACATTTTCATGATCTACAACGCACAATTGATTAGAATATATCGATAAAGCTTAATCGTTCGTTCAACTCTATTCTACTGACTTTCATAAAAGATTCCGTGGATAAGGTAAAGATCTGACCGCTGGTTACTTTCACCGGTTTCTTACATCTTACTATAACGAGCAATAAATCCTTGATTACGTTAGAAGGAAGTATCGTCCAATCCATTTCGTAAATAGCATCACTTACTTTGTTGCTCTATAAATATAACGAATATATAACAAATTGATTAATACAATAACAAACATCGCGTCATAATTATTCTTGCATAAACGATCGACGATTCGTTATTAGAAAATATTATTCATCTCCACCTCTCTATCAATTTTTTTTAAGAAATTGTTAATGTACTCGAGCATATAATATAATCGAGTGGAAACGAAAGACAGTGCCAACCTTCAACGTCACCTCGTTCCCAAACCAGCAGTATAAATACACCTGCATAAGCATACAGCACAAATAGAAGCCGCTCCAGACGAAGTTCATGCTCAACGGATCTACCGTCGAAAATTTGTAGATACTTAGGCACAAAACCACCGAGCTTATGGAGAACTGTAGAAAAATCATATACTGGAACACGGTGTTCACCGTTTGGACAAATCTGTAATGGTAATACGAAAATACCGGATAATACCGAATCTTCACTTCGATCGTTATCTTACATTTTTAGCTACTGTAATAAAAATGGCGCATTTATATTTTTACTCGTATACTTCAAGGTGATGTTGAACCAAATCCCCAATAATTTTATTGTATCTTATCCTCAGATCCTTTTTCGACACGTTGCTGTTTCTTGTTGCCAGCAACAGGGAGGGCAGATTTTGTGCTCGATGACAAAATATCTCAAACTGCACGCCAGCTTGTATCATCAATCCGGCGATCAGCGTTTCGTTGCCCACGCTCGCGTTCGCACAGATCAACAGTCCAACAGTTTGATACAACAGGGATATCGTGTACAATTCTGACGAGGATAAGTCGTATGGTATCCAATCGGATACGGGTAATGTCCTGGTATTTATGAACGTCTTGTATTGGCCCACGGTCGCGAAGAACACTGCCGATTCGTTCAGAATCTCGCAGTATATCGTCAGTTTTCTGGAAGAAAAAATAAATTTATATACGGATACCGAGGCTACACGATTAAAGATTTAAAAAGAGAAACGAGTGTGAATCCGCGAAGAAATATTTTGACGGAGAACAAATTTTATCGATTTAATGGAAAAACCTGGCGTAATTGTCGTTTCTCCGTTGGATGATTTTCTCCTGTTCGTCCCTTGGAACGGAATTCTCCTTCGTCAGACTGTTCATTATATTTATAATTTTTCCTCGTTGAAGGAACAAGTTGGCCACTTTGAGAGAAACACCTAAGATCGAGATGCAGAGGGAAAATTTTTCGCTCATTGTCTTCAAGTTTTTGCTGATCAATGAATCGACGCAAGTACAGAACGTGATAAAATATAAGAGGAAAATCATGAATGCCGAGTAAATGTTGTACAGCCGATATTTGTACGAGGAAGCCGGCCATTTTGTTGGCCTCCAATAGCCACCGTAAGTGAGCAGAGCAAACGATAGAGAAAGTTTCTGCATTTCTGTCACTTATTCCGTTTAAAAGATGATGAAACTTTCTCGACGAAGATTATTCGTCGTTGAATGCAAGAAAAATATGTTCTATCAAAATTTTTCTCCAAAGACTTAGCGGAAAAAAGGAATCTTGAGGTAAAACGTATCTTTATTCTTTTTTTTTTTTTTCTTATTTTTCAATCGGAAGAAGATATAGATAGAAAAATTTAATTGTGCGGATTTGAGATTTAATTACACTCGGATAAAAACTTGTTAATAGTTCCACTATGAAGAAACTATTTTCGACTGCGTACCGTTTCTTAGATTCGACCGGTCTTATTTCCATCGATCTTTTCTTCCGGTTGATGCATCGTAATTATTATTACATAAGATATACCAATACTTGCATCATTGTTATGATAAGATATAGATAAGATAATTATTTCCTGGTTTCAAACTTTCAGTTGAGCAGAATCGAAATCGAAGTTTTCCTTAAACTCTCACAAATTGACGACTGTCGATTTGATAGTCGTTATTCACGATCATATATCATGGATATATTTTCAATTTCTACGCAAGAATTTTCCAATATAAGTCGATTGAAAGCGAAATACGATGTCGAAGAAAGGGTCGAATTTATACCGGAAATAGATAATGAGTCATCGACTATTTTATGTCTCCCCTCAACGAAAATTAATAAACAATAGAGTATAGAACATGAAAGACTCTCAGTTTACCGTTATCCGTCGTAGGAGACAGAAGGTTGTGATGCAGTGGTGAGAATTTAATCGACGAACGAGAAATTTAAATTTGTAAGTAATAAAAAAAAATATTATCCTTTATGACAATTTTATAAAGCAGAAAGTGTAAGTATTATTGATGAGAAAGATATTTTTTATTATTATTGTAGATTATAATTTGCATCATTAAATAAATAAGAGAAATTCAAACAATTTATTGTGAAAGCAAATTAATAATTTTTCGTTAAAATTTTATGACCAATCAGGTAAATCTAATTTTACTTTTTAACATTTAAGAAATATTTGGCATTTTGACTTGAAATAATAATTTTTTATATAAGAAATTGAAATATAATCAAATTTTTGGTGAATTCACTTGATTATGGATAATTCTCAATTGAAATTGTTTCAAAATTTTGTAATAAAAGTTCCCTGATTCTGAAATTTCAAATCTCACTTGAATATTAAATTTATAATAAATTTATTGTATCTGAGAGAGCTACATAATTTATTTGTTCGAATAGCTTGTTTTCCTTCTCTTTTATCATCATTATTCCATACACGACAAAGAAGAAAAAGTTTACCACTAATGTTAACCACATAAATTCTACTTAGTCTGTTGCAGCATATTATACGCCGAGTAAGTAGCTTTTATCAACTGTAACAAACAAGAATATACCGTTATAGAATACCAATGTTCCAATGTAACAATTAGGTCGAGGAAATTTTTAAAATAATGTAAAATTATTCGAAAGTAGCGCGCGGGTAAAATTTTATAATGGATCGAATATTGCTTAGAGAAGATTAAAAGATTAAAAAGAAAAAAATACCATTCAAAAATTGTAAGATCGTTACAATGTAATATAAGGTATTCTATGATATATAATATAAAATATGCGTATAATTTTTATTATATACTGACACCCTTGAAAGATTCCAGGTTGAGGGGTATAACGTGAGCGCTGATTACCTCGACAGGCGTCAATGAACGTGCCATCATTACCAACAGAATTTTCTTAGCGTCGTTGCTCAGATTCGGCCAATTGCTATTAAATATCATATCGGGAATCTCAAGACTCTGCGGAGAAAATAAAAAAAAAACGTAGACGACTTGAACTATGGTATCTGAAGGGAAGAAAGGAGATCGTCGATTACGCACCTTATATTTTGCTATGTCCCCGTGCCAGCAAAAGTAAAAGATTTGAATTAATGCGGAAAAAACAAATATTATCGCTCCTGCAAATTGTGAGTCCGCTTTCGTATATATTACCCGATAAACGCTAAAGCATATCGCGACCGCGCTAATCAAAAATTGCAAGCACAATATTGAACTGAACAATTTGTTCACCAATTCGGTGAATCTGAAACGAAGCAAATATCATTCCGTTCCGCTTTTTGTCAATCATTTTATCCATATACGGAATATACACGAACCTGTATATTAATTCGTGTTGACGCGCGCAATATTTCAACGATTGAATCGCGTCTTCTTTAATATTTTGCAATCGATATACAAGCGTGTCCAATTGACAACATATTTGAAGTAGGAGGCCGGCGAATAGGGTGTCGAAAATAATGATACCAAACGAACTGACCACCGCGCATACACACTGATGAATAAAAGTTAAAGAGAACAAAAGCCACGAGGCGGTATAATTGAAAGGTATCCAAGCCTCGAAAGTTAAATTTTTCTTCTTGAAATCGGTGATTAATGTTGCGCCAATCAAAGCAACCAGGCAGGACATGTTTTGCAACGTGTAAAAAATACTGACTTTCCTGTAAGAACAAAAAAAGGTCGAACAATATCTTTATTTCTGTGTGTTTGATTCGGGGGGGAAAAAAGAAAAAGAAAAAAAAGAAGAAGAAGGGAAAACTTACTCGATCAGCTTGTTGTATTTCGTGTGAATTTTTATTTCTTCTATGTTCATCGGCAAGAAGGGCTCCTTTTGCAACAAATCCAATAAGCTTATGATAATTCCTCGTTGGAATAGCAAGTTGATGAACTTACAAATGGTGGTGAATACCGTGATGGTAATACCGAAATTTTTACTGAGTTCATCCGCACTTTTCACGTTCAAAACTGTTTGCATAATTAGCGTGGTCAAGAAACTTAATAAAAATAATGTCACGACGACGGTGTATACATTGTAGAGAAATCGTTTTGTCGGACACTTGACTTTCGGTGATAAAAAGTATCCAGTGATAACGAAAAGCTTGAATGTCCATCGCAATAAGTGCATTTTAAATTATTTGTCAATATGATTTATCCTGCTTTTATAAAATCGGGATCAAATGATTTTCAACGCTTCTTCTCTTGTTTACATTTCGATAAATTTTACTAATAGGATTTTTCGACAATACAATACATTTGAAAAAATCGAAAGAAAGGAAAATATTATATTAACGTAATAATGAGTTATTTTATATTTCTAATCGTGATATAAAAACAAAGGATATCTTTAGATGGATAGCTCTTTCATTAAGTGCTACTAACCACTATAAGATGTCAATATTCTTTACGCTCTGTCAAATGGGATAGTTTTCTCTTGGAATTTGCCCCCTATGCAATTATCGTAATTACTGGCATTACTGCGATGCGACGATATAACGCGAGGAATTACATTTTTAAAAACAAGCTGACAACTGTAAGTGCATAAGTATTTACTATTATCGATTTCTATATTCCTTTACATTATCTTTTCTTTCTATTTTCCCTTTACGCTTCAATTGCAAGCAGATATAATTACTCTGGTTATTTTTTTTTTTTTTTTTGTTAATAATATCTCCACTGTAAAAACAGAAAAATTAAGCAACAAACGTAAGACATTAAAGTTTCGCGAGGATTATTTTTTACAAATCACGATTATGAAAAAAGTCAAAGATAAAGCATTCAATGTAAATCATTTTAAATAGGCGTTTTGAAACATTGACAAGATTTTTCATTTCATTCTAATCATAATTTACAAACGAGCTTTTCTGTTTTTACCGTTTATTTTTACTTTTTTGAACATTTCATCAATGACTATAAAATATCGATATTTCTCCCCTGTTTCCTTCTTCTCTTCTTGTGCGTAATTATCGTAATCACCGTTTGTAGGATCATTACAGTGCGTGCATTACGATGCATCCCTACCACTTAAGTGAAGTTCAACTCGTCGATTCAAGTGACACGAGTAATTTAGATGCACCCTTGTGTAATTACATTTTTAATAACAACACAGGATCTATATCTATATACCGGACAATTTTTATTCCCGAGAGTGTATCGTTTTATTTACATGGAATTAATAGTTCCGAGTTCAGTTGCGTTTCAAGAATGAAACGGTGAGCATCGTGCGTTGGAATAAAAGTGAAAGAAAAGAAAAAATAGTGAGAAAGAAAAAAATTGACTGAAATTGACAGAGGATGAAATTTATTACACAAGTGCGTAATATATATCTATTTTTTCCTATAATATTTATTAAAATTTACTTCTCGATACTTTTGTATATTTCTAGAGTGTTTTATTCGAACATGCTTTTTCTTCTCTTCCTTCTTCCCTGCTCTTGATCTACCAGGAAGAATCGAAGAAGAAAGGACGGGTCTACGTTAAGCAAATTTTCTTGCTCGTTTTTATGATTCTCGGCTCTGTTGCAACACACTGAACGCTGAGTATGAACTTTTCAACAACTACAACATAGTTATGTTGCGCAAACAACTTTTAACCTGAATATCCAGAAGAAGGAAAAAAACATTCGAATTCACAGGATACTGACTGTCATGAAGGAATCAAGATTCACGGATACAATGTAAATGCTGGTAAATTCAATGGGTTTCATTGCACGCCTCATCACCAATAGAATAGCCCTCTGAACGTTGTTATTCAACGATGTCCAATTGCTTCTGAATATCATATCGGAAAGTTCCAAACTCTGTTTCAAAAAGGAAGAAAAAAAAAAAGAAAAAATTATAACGCGTCGTCGTATCTTTCACTTGCCAGCAACGAACCTTGAGCTTGACTTCGTTGCTGAACCAACAATAGTAAAATATCTGCATTAACGAGCAAGCCATGTAGAGGATTGTCCCTATGTATCTTGAGTCCATTTCTATTTGCATTATTCGATAGAAATTGAAACAGATCATTGACAGACTCGTGCAGAATTGAAAGAACATGATCGATTGAAATGCATCGTTCACCATCTCTCCATATCTGCAAAGTTCCAAAATGTAAATGTATATATATATATATATAATTGCTTAGCTTATCAGAATTCAGTGATAAATCGACAAACTAACTTATATATATGATTATGATGACGAACACATTGTTTCATAGTATAATTTTTATCCGATCCAATGTTTTTCAGACGATGCTCCAGTATTTCGAATTGGCAGCTAATATGTATCAACAGGCCGCTGTACAAAGTATCGCTTGCGACGCACGCGAACGTGCACACCGTTGCAACCACAATTTGGTAAGCGAAGGCAAGCAGAAATGCAGATGCGGTCGAGTAATCGTAAGGCAGCCACGTTCGAAACGCTAATTTTCTGATCTTGAAATTTGCGAGAAGCGATCCCATCAGTATACACAATGAAGAAAACATAAGCAGGATGAAGTAACCAAGTGTGTTCCAACTGGGAAGAAAAAAAAAAAAAAGTGAAAGATGAAAAATTTACTTTTAATCTCATTTTTGTATCAAAGATACAGATGAGAATTAAATACAAAGAAAGTAAGAGAGACGATTAACTTACTCGGTGAGCTTTTCGAATTTCAAGAAAATTTCAAATTCTTCCGTGTTCATAGGCGAAAGTGGCTCCTGGTTTAGGGTGTTGCACAAAAGTAGAATGTTCTCACGGCGTATCAGTATAGTGATCAGCTTGAAACATGTGACGAATACTACCACGGTTACCGAGAAATTGTCACTGAAATCGTCCGTGTCTTTTACATTGTACACCATATCCAATATTTGAGCGAGCAAGAAACTGTTCAGCGCTATGAATGAAAATACCGCGTAAATCTTGTACAAGTATCTTTTGAGACGCGTTGACCACGACGCGGGTGGGAAACAACCGCACAACGCGAACAAGAGAAACGTCCATCGCAGTATGCGCATTGTCGATGTTAGGGAAAAAAGAAAAGAAGAAATCTTTACGTGTATTTTTTTTTCTTATTCAATTAGATCTTATCGCAACCGAGAATAATTATGGAAAGTATAGAGGGACAAATTCGAAAAGGGTATAGATATATCCGTAACTATTGCTCGACGTAGTTTCGAATGTTACTTATGACTTACGTGAAAATATCGATATCCGTCGTCCACCCTCGAATCGAGTTATTTCGTACACAGTTTACCCTTCGGTGCATACATATTCATTATTGTAATAGTATCGTGAGTTGCATTTTGTATTATGTATAAGTACAATTTAAATAATAATGGTCTTAACTTTTATACATTCATAGTTTTATCATATAGTTTTTATCCGTGTTGCAATGTTGCAAGTCGAATATATATATATATATATACATATATTATGTTATATCGATATATTCTCTATAATGTTTCATAAAATAAAAGGAACGTTACCAATAAGTTGGTTAAAGAATGCGATGCGTGTATCTCTTCTAACGGACGAGAAATAAATATAGAAGAATATTTTTTTTTTCTACGATCGAGTAAGTATTTATACCAGTTTTATTTATAGATCTGTTGCAATTTCGTAATACAGAACGGATTAATCAGATTAATGGCATTCGTTCGAAGTTCATTTTGCGTCATCCGTATTGTTGCATGCATCTGTTTCGATTAATGGAATAAATAATAATTAAGACAGGGAGATCTTCATTTGGTTCGTTGCAATAAATTAAAGACGGAATACGAAGCTTTTATTAGCTGGAACAAAAAAATTATTAACTCTAACAAAATTCAATTATATTCAGTTAGAATTAGATGGGAAATGTTTCATTTCACAGGAAGTAACACAGGGTGTCCTATTTTAATCCATGCATGTGATTAATTCTTAATATATATTTATTTTCCTATTCTACATTAATTATAATGATTTCTAGTCAAAACTAGTATTGAAAGGACATGGATTGGCACAGTTCTAAACTTCTACCAATTACAATTTATCTACACTTCTGACACTTTCATTCTTAGATGTTTGATCGTTAGATTGCAATCGTAAAAGCGAAGGGTAAGTTTTATAATAAATAATTGCATGGATAAAAATAGAATACATTGTATTATTTCATACTAACCGCCACGAAGAATTCAAGATTCAACGTCACCAAATATCCACTGGTAAATTCGAAAGGTTGCGTCGCTCGTGTCATGATTATTAAAAAGATTTTTTTCGTCTTGTCATCCCACGATATCCAATCGCTTTTAAATATCATGCCAGGCACCTCGAGACTCTGTAACGAGGAAAAAAAAAAAAAAAGAACAAAAATTGCAAAATATTTAGGAAAAATTCTACACACCTCGTTTCTTCGTCTCAACGACTAACCTTTAATTTGACTTCGTTACTGAACCAACAATAGTATAATATCTGAACTAAAACGCGAACCAAATATAGGGATGCTTCCAATAATTTAGGAATCATCGTTATAGTGGTCATTCGATACAGATTGAAACAGAGTATGAACGAGATCGCGCAAAATTGCAAGAAGAGTATTACCTTGAATTTCTCGTTCAACGTTCTAGAGAATCTGTTGCAATGATTTAAGATATTTGTAACTATCTTTGTGAATTGGCAAAATGTAAAAAAAAAAAATGCTTTGAACAAACTTGTATATTTGGTGATAATGTCTAACGCATTGTTTCGCCGAATAATTGGACTCGTCTTGTTGAACATTTTTCAGACGTTCCTCCAGTATTTCGAATTGGCAGTAAATTTGAACCAAAAAACCAGCGAACAGAGTGTCGCATGAAATGTTCTGACAGGAGCAGAACATTGAAGTTGTCGCTTGGTGAACGTAACTCAACGTAAATGGTAACAATTCCGAATAATCGTACGGCAGCCATGCCCGAAAGGTCAGTTTTCTCTTTTTGAAATCCGTGAAGAACGATCTCACGAATATCCATGTCGCGGAAACTAAGACCAGAATTGTGTAACAGATCGAAGTCCGCCTGTAAAAGAAAATTGATTCTAAATTTCGCACAAGGGATTTGTTCGAGAGCGTTGAATAATAATAAGACTTACTCGTTCATTTTGTTAAATTTTGTACGGATTTCGTTTTCCTCGTGTGTGATCGGTGAGAAAGGCTCGTGTTGAAGATCGTCGATCAAAGATAAAATATTCTTACGATATCTTAATATAATGGTCATTTTGCAACTCGTTACGAATACAACCAGCGTGATATAAAAATTCTCTATAAATTCATTCTTATTTTTCACGTTGATAATTATATCTAATATTTGGGTGGATACAAGGCTCAGTATTAACAGCCATATGACGAGCGTGTATATATTGTACAACGATTTTTTAAACGACGATTTCCACGACGTTGGTGGCACGCATCCGCAAACCGAGAGAAGGAAACGTGTCCATTGTAACGTTTGCACCACCATTTTTATGACAATTCATCGGCTAAAATTTTTTTTACGTTAATCTTTAAGATTTTAACGTCATTTGTGTATTTGTGAAACAGAAATTTAGGCAACAGCGTGAACGAAAGTAATTATTTCGTTCGTAAATGGAAAAATTAATTTTTTTTTTTTTTTTAATTAATATAGAGAAATCGTCAATACAAATGTAATGGATCTTTGCAAAAGTCGAACTCTGAGTATTTCAAGTACCATCGATCATCTCAGAGTATCGACAAGTTCAACCCTTTTAGCAGACGAAGCTATTTCTTCTATTGCGTTCTACGTCATTATGTTTGTTAATGATGCAAAGGCCTATCTTAGAAACAGAAAATCTATCTTTAAAAACATCGTGGTAGTTTCTTCCCCTATTTCTGGCTTTCTACATTTGATATTAAAATTGTCCTTTAAACTACGTTGAAATATAAATTATCGTATCGAAAGACACGAAATGATAATTATCATTTATTTATCTAACTGATCGAGGAGAGTCAGTCGTTCACAGAATGTCTTCATCTCAATTTCGAATAAAAAAAAAAAAAATAACTATTTTAGCAGAGCTGACATTTATTGTGCATCATACAAAAGAACACTTGTTGAAGATCTTAGGTGAGTGTTTATCATTCTTCGATATTCTTTTTTTAAAAAGAACAACATTTGCTTCTATTGCCGTGCATTGCATCATCAAAGTAAATTGTTAAATTATTAAAGTAAAACGTTCGAAACTGACCAACGCGAAAGATTCGAGATTCATGGAGAGTAATAGCAAGTGAATTTTCAATATTCGATATCATAATTATTATAAATATGTACACAGTTGTTGTACTTTTGCAATAATAGCATCGATAATTTTACCATTCTTCTATTTTCCATTTCTTTTTATCACAAATTTACATATTTTTGACGAAAGACGGAAGATATAAAAGCCCGTGAAATAATAAAATACGGTGTTCGTTTGGTGTAAATGAATTCGAGCAAGGGAATAAAAGAAAGAAAAGAAAAGAAAGACTTTCATTACGAACCTACCGCTTTTGAATATCATTTATTGTTTCATTCATTGTATTCTTTCTGCACTACTTTCTTTCATAACGTTAAATGGTTTATACGAACGAGTTATTTTACTCCTCTTCGTCGTAAATCACGTTTCATCCTATAAAAGTAGTCAAAGCCATGGTGGAGAACATCCTTCGCTATTCTCTGTTACTTTGGAGCAGATTGTACGCTGAATATGAAGTTTTTAATAGCTGCGGGCAGAGGATAAGTGAAAAAATTTTAACAAATTGTGCAATGTTTTAAATACAAAGTCTTTGAGAAAAAGAATGCACAGATCTGGTGAGAAAGCCTTCTTATTAAAAAATATAGAAAAAAAAGAAAATATTCAGAACGAGAAATTCGATCTCTGTGTTCACTGTGTGCTACTTTCAAATACAGGAAGTTAAAAAATAAAAAAATTGTTCTTTTTCGTACTAACGATCACGAATGAATCGAGATTCATGGTAATCACATGAACGCTAGTCATTTCGATGGGATACGATGCACGCATCATGATCATCAACAAGTCATGTTTAGTGGTATTATCGAGATCCGGCCAGTCAAGTTTGAAAATCATGTCAGAAATATCGAGGCTCTGGATGAAAAAGAAAAAAAAAATACAAATTAACAGATTGAATACACAAACAGATCGGAATTATCGTGGAGAATATACCTTGAGCTTAACTTCGTTCCCGTACCAGCAGAAAATATATATTTGCGTTAACATACAGCTACTGTATATCGCCAATTGCATAATCCTCTCGAACGTGATTTGTGTTCCCATTAATATATAAAGATTAACGCATATCGTTAACGTGCTCACTGTGAATTGAACGAAAATCACCATTTTAAACTGTTCGTTTATCGTGGTAGCCAATCTGGAATCATTTGCACACGAATTAAAAATAATTTCCTCCATTTCTTTAATCCCTTAACTGTGCAACGAGTTGCCATAATAATTTGCTCATAATATCGAATTAATTTTTCGAAATAATTAAAAATATACAATTTTCAAGAGCACAAGCATCGAAGATTTTCGTATTTGGCCCAGTTAAGGGAATGAAAGAAAAGGGACAAGATGATTACCGATCATACCGATATATAAGATTATGATAATGTATGCACAATTTCGTAACTTCATTCTTCTCGTGATCTTTGATCTTTTTTAACCGACAATTGAAAATCTCGATCTGGTTGCAGATGTGCATCAACAAGGCCCAGATGAAGCTGTCGCAGGCGACGTGTATCATAGCACTAACGATCAGACTTACGACTTGTTGCGTGTAAATGAAAGTATATGCGGATAAGGAGGTGTAATTGTAAGGTAACCACATTCGATACGGTAGCTTGTGACTCTCAGCTTTGAGCAGGCCACCGAATGACAATGACATCACTGACAATTCGACTAGAATTGCGTAACAAATCGCGTTCAATCTGCAGCGTTCATTAAAGAAGCAACGACATTGGTATGTATCCAATTTTTAACATAAATAAAACAGAATGAATCAAGAAAGATGGTTTATTTGATTTATCAAAAGTCGATCGTAAAGTAAATTTTAAATATCATTTCTTACGATAGTTCGAATATTTGGCTTGCGAATACTTTTATTTTTTCTTAAATCGATCAATTTCATAAAATCACACCTTTTTTATTCTCTTTTTCGATTCAGTCTGTATATTATCGTAACGTTAATAATTAATCGAATCAAATCGATTTAATGGAACGATTAATTTTCACAGAATAGGCATTAATAACATTTTTAGAAAAGAATATTTTTATCGTTGAACAATAAAATATTAAATGAAATATTCACCTGGCCTGTTTGTCGCATTTGTTTCGCATATTCATCTCTTCCTCTGTCTCAGGCTGGAACGGTTTGCTTTCCAGCATGCTAGTTATGAGGATGATATTTTCACGGTTGACGAGCATGCTGTACATCTTGTGGCACGAGATAAAAATTGCCAATGTAAGGTAAAAATTGTCGCAAAACTCATCCTCGGTCTCCACGATTAATAACAAATCGACGAATGTGCAAAACGTGGCTCCGTATATCAATAGGATCACATAGCAATAGTAAACTGTATATGCCAAGTTTTTTAATGGGGATAAGAACGGTGGTCGCCAACAAGCGCACGACGTCAAAAGATGATATATCGTTCGTAACAATTGCATCGTTTCTCTTCTCTTTTTCTCAACTTTCCATTAAAATTTCGATTTATATTTTCCTTCTTGGATGTCTTTAATCATCCTTCGACAATTACTCAGCGAGCTACTCGAGGTTTTACAAAGATGTACGCGGTAGAAAATGTAAATTTTTTTCCTTTTCAACAATTACTTTGTTGTCGTTTCGGCTCTAGAATGCTTGGACGTTCCGTTATTCGACGTTATTACGATATAATAATAAACGGGAAATAAGATGGAAGAAGAAGAAAAAGAAAGGGAGAAATAGAAACGTTGGCATATAATATATTTAAGGGGGCATCAATATATTCTTTATCTTTACCTTTGGGTGAAATAAGTGAGCGGTTGTCTACATATGCGCGCGCGCATTCATGAAACTTTTTCTTTTTCTTTATGCATACTATATTATTATGTGTTGTAATTTCAGAAAAATGGAAAAGTGGAAAATTTGTTCGAGAAACGTCAATTTTTACTTTCTGTCCATCAATTATATTATTCTCAATAGTCGTTTAACATTGCAAAAGGAGAAGAATAATCGAGTTGGAATAAATATTTAACGAATATCAACTAATATCAAGGAAATTGGTCTTTTGTATCATCGTCTGTCTGTTTCAAGAGTTGGAGAAGAATTTTCTTTCGCAAGAAGATAAAAAAGAATAAGGATTCTGTCAAACGGTGAGATAAATACTTTGTTACCTTAAACTGAAACTTACACGATTCAATAGATAGTTTTATCGTATAGCTCGTTAAAATTCGATTTCAAAGAAGATTTTCTTCACGGAAAAATTTTAAACTCAAATTTTAAAATGTAATTACAAAATTTCGAATTCTTGAAAATTTTGATATCAAGTTATTTACGAATTAGATTAATCAAAGATTAATCGAAACCTTGTAATTTACGATTCCTTCGTTCTCTGAAGGAAATTGTACGTCGAGTACGACATTTTCAATATCTGCAAAAAGCGTGCGCATATTGAAATCTGAAAAGAAACATTTTTCTAAACGTTAATATTGCTTTAACATCTATACTAACGCTGACGAAAGTTCTTAAATCCATCGTAAAGATGTATGCGCAGGTCAACTCGATCGGATTCATCGCTCTTCTCATTATATTTATCAAACCTTTTTTGCTTCTGTTGTCAAGGGTGATCCAGTCTAACTCGAAAATCGTGTCCACAACCTCGACACTCTGCGCATGGATTATGAAATTGAAATTCTCGAGATTCGTACAATTTTAACAAGAACAAATTTTAGACGAGGCTTACCTTTAATTTGAGCTGATTCCCGTACCAGCAATAAACGAAGATTTGTGTCATCATGCACGTCAAATATAGGACGAACTCCAGAAATTTAGAGCTGATCAAAGACGTGTTCGCCAATTCGTAAAGAATGAAGCACACTACCAAAGTACTCGATAAAATTTGAATACCTATTATTTTCTTGAACTTCTCCTGTACCATAAAAGCGTATCTATACGTTCGTTTTCGAAGATTTTTCACAAATTAAAGGAAAAAGGAAAAATTATATGAATACTCCTTTACAATGATATCTCGAATCATCTTTTTTCGATTTTTTTCTTCGAGACATTTTAGACTGGACACAAACTAACCCGTATAGATAATTGTGAAAATGTACGATCTTTCCAATATTCAACCTATTTCCAACATTTACGCTTTCCTTCAATCTATCCTTCAATATTTCTTGCTGGCTGTACATATGGACGAACAATCCGCAAATGGTCACGTCACAAGCCACGTTTAAAAGCGACGTACCAATCAGAGCGATGATCTGATGAACGTATGCGATGTAATAGTAATAATAATTTGGTGCAGAGCAGTTGAAAGGTAGCCAAGCTTCGTACGCCAGTCTCTGGTTTCTAAAGTCGGTTAGCAATGAAGACACGATCATACAAAATACTGTAAACTCCACCATGATTGTATAGTAGATAGTGATCGACCTGTCAAGCGTTTCATGAAGGCTCGTCATTCAATTATTCTGTTTCGTTGCTAATCGAGAATGAAGATGGTTCTCTTGAAAATTTTTTAACAACAAAAAATGTGATTCAAATTAAATTCAAAAATAATTTTTAATAGTTTAACTAGAATTTTGTCTGATACAAACAAAATTATTGTCAAAAAGCTTCGTCGTTCACTTAAAAAAAGGAAAAAAAGAAAAAGAAAAGAGCAGTTTTAATTAAAAATCGATGAAAAAGAACGAAATGAAAGAACAATTTTTGGATACACTTTAAACGTTTACCCGATATTTTTGTCGAAACTTTTTTGGATCATAACTTCCTTGATGTTCATAGGTTTACAAGGCTCCTCTTCGAGCCTCCTTCTAAAGATTTTAATCGCTTTATGATTCATCAGAAGCGCGACGATCTTGCAACAGGATAAGAGCGACGCAATGAACATGTAAAAACTGTTGCATAATTCGTCTGCTGTTCTCACATTAATTATCACGTTTAAAAATTGCGAGATACAGAAGCTGTAGAGCAAAAGTAGCACAAATATCGCGTACAAAATGTACAGCATCTTTTTGTACGATGTCCGACACGAGGACGGCATCCGACATCCGCAAATTGTTAATATATTAAAAATTGGCTGTAGAATGGTCATTTTTTCAACTGATAAAGCGATAAATAATGAAGAAAAAAAAAATAATAATTCTTAATGAAAAAAAAAATTCTTGAAAAAATATATTTTCATTAAACTTATTATCAGTACACAAATTTTTGCGATTCTCGATTTCTCCTTTTATCATTTAACGAGATAATTTTGATCAAAATGAATAATTGGAAATTTACTCGTCGATTAGAAAGAAAATATTTTTATCTCGAGGAAATTATAATACTTGCTTAAGGAGAGGATTCAAAAAAATTTTATAAAACACTGACTATTGCAAGTAAACGGTGCCTATAGAAAGCTTTTTTTCCACGAGAAAAATGTTGTCCACAATTTTCCACCTTGATATGCACATACCGTATCATTATCATAATGTGCACTGTGTTACAATGCTGGTTATAATGTTACATTTTTATGAACCTTCTTGGATAGGCACTTATCCGAGGAATAGGATCTTTTATCATTTATTTTATTCGTATAAAATCGATTTGTTTATTTGGAGGAAGTTTTAAATTATAAAAGAACGAGAATAGATGGGAAAAATTGAAGATTCCTTGTAAAACTATAAACTATTAAATAATGTATCATGAATATTTTAAAAAGAAAATAAAGAACACGCAATATAAACTTATTTTTATTATATTTATTTAATTTTAGTATAACAATAAATTTTTTAATATAGTTTCGATTCTTTGAAATTAATTAAAAAAAATATAAGATCACAAACAGAAATGTAATTATAAAGATCATAAATAAGATATAATATCACGAATTTTTAATAAATGAATCTTCTATTTCAAAAATTCATTCAAAAATTAAATGAAAATATTATTGACGTTTATATTTCTTTGAATAAAAAATTAATAAAAATAAGATACATACACATACGAGATATAAAAATTAAATAAACTAGACTAATTTTTGATTAATAGATTAGATTATGCATTATATTATAATTATATTATATTGATAATTTTTAATCAATAAAAGAAATTGTTAAAAGAAATTGGCAAAAATCATCTCTTATAAAATGTTTAAAAAATATTTTTGAAGCTAAATAGTCATTTTTTAAAGATAAGTACATAAAAGGTAAGTATAAAATAGGTAAGTATAATACAGTATTTAAGTATTTCATATTCCATAAATAGACTTAAGTAAAATGTTTAAAAAATATTATGTTGCTGAAAAATCACTACTAAAATAAGGTAAGTATATTAGGATAAGGTAAGTATAAGGTAAGTATACTATACGGACACCCGGTACAATATATTACGTATATGATAAGATACGATACGATATTTCGAATAAGGAAACAAAAATGCTTGAGTTTTTTAAAGATTAAAAAAATGATAAAAAACGCACTAATAATGACAGCATTCATGATAAAAGATAAATATGCAAGCAGAAAATACCTAAATTTATGTAAATTGTGAAAGAAAATATTTGAAAGCTCTACAAAAATGGTAACGCTAAGAAAAAGGGTAAAAAAATAAGTAGGAAAACTGTAAGTGTAAAATAAATGTGTAAAAACTCCGTTTGAAGTATGTTCTCCTAATAAAAAATCGAATTTTAGGTCAAAAGTTTCGATATATCGCTCGAGCGCTTGGAAATTTCCGAGAATTTGACGTCAGTTCCAAGAATCGTAGGGATTCCGAGAAATTGACGTCATTTCTAAGAATTTCAGAGATTCCGAGAAATTGACGTCATTTCTAAGAATTTCAGAGATTCCGAGAATTTGACGTCATTTCTTGGAAAAATTTTTCGATCGACCTCCTATCGTATCATGTTCTCCTAATACAAAATCGTATATTTAGACAAAAATTTTTCTACATTTTCGGGAATTTCGTTATACATCTTTTTTATTAAATATCTCATTTATTATTAACAATATCAAAAAGAGTTTCAAATAAAAGTTGAATGGTTTCGAAAGGGCTATAATCTGATGCCCTTATTTTTTTCGTAAGTGGACTCATAAAAAACTTCTTAAGCTCAACTTTCTTAAATGGCATCGTACTTTTTACAGTATTGGTCGATTTACCGTAATATTTTTTATAAAAAGTATTAAACCACTTTTACCAAAAAACCATTAGTTTAAAAGATATTTAAATAATCTAATTTTTTATTAATTTAGAGCTTTTTTGCTATATACAGCTTAGTATTTTTTTATAAAGAATGCAAACTACATCAATTGGAGTATTAAAAAATGTATAATTGTAAGAAGTAACATTTACTTTTAAAAAAATGGGTTAATTTATTATATTCAACATTTGAAAAGATATAATTTACATTTGAAAAAAATTTTTTGTTGCAGAAATATCATCTTCAAAACGGAAGAAATATATTTAAGGCAAAGTAGAGTAAGAAGTAAGTATTTTATAAATAATTTTAAAAAACTTTTGAAAATTATTGTAAATAAATACTAAAAATGTAAATAAATGTAAATGTAAATGTAAAAAATGTATATATTGAAAATATAAATAAAGACACCAATTTTTGTGAAAAATTCGTATTATTTATTTTTCCTATACCCAAATTCTTAAAAGTTTTGAATTTTAGTCAATTCCCAGAATTGTCGAAATTCGCCCCAGAAATTAGGTTTAGAAAAAAACCATTAGTTTAAAAGATATTAATTATTTTTTAAACTATAAGTTTATGGCCATATATTACTTTTTTATAGAGAATACTAAGGGACGATTGGTGTATTAGAAAATGTACAGTTCCATGTAAAAAAAACCACATTCGCGTTTATAACTCCTTAAAAAATGAACAGCAGAAGGACGTGCCCCCCTCGAAACCAAGTAACTTTTATTCGAAACATTTTTTAATATCTCGAAAAATAAGCGAGATACATCGAAAAATGTCGATCTATTGTACGAACACTTTCGAAAAGTTCCAAGAATTTGACGTCAGTTCCAGGAATGTTAGAGATACATAGAACCTGGCCCCAGTTCCAAGAACTTTAGAACTTCCGAGAATTTGACGTCATTTCCAAGAATTTCAGAGATTCCGTGAATTCGACGG